GTAGGTGAGCCTGCGCCCCCTTTAACTAAAGGGGGTCGCTTCTGATATGGCAGAAAGGCCCTCCAGGCCAAAACCAGTCCCACAGATGGTGTTTAGTGGGTAGGCACTTCATAGTGAGTCCCACATAACCACGCAGCTGGGTGCGTGGTATGCTACGAGCACTCAGCACCTCCCTTCCCCGCTTCCCCGAGAGTAGCCCCTCGTTTTGGGCGCAAAAACGTGTGCGAGAGATTCCGCTTGAGTCATTCTACGAGTGAAGTCATGCTACGAGTACTAAGATTATTATTATTAATACAGTGTTGATAATTAAGACAGTGTTGTACTTCTGTTCATTTTAGTAATTCCCCAAGTAGCATGCGAGCTGTATATGAGCTGTATTGGAGTTCCTTTTTATACTAGAGGCTGCATTTACTGGCTGTACAAAGGCTGTATAAGCGCTTATGCAGCTCTTATAAGTAAAAAATTGGCACAAATTATACAGCTTTATGGGATAGTATCGCTGTACAGTAGCTGTACAAGCATATAAAGGGCTGTATAATAGCTGTATTATAGCTGTTATTTGGTGTACAAGGAAACTATTACACTACAAATAATATATTATAAGTATCTTTTAAAGAGAAACGTTATAAATTGGTGTTTGAACGATATCACAAATATAACTTAACAGATTTATTTATATACTTTATTGAATGATGGCGATATTTAGTGAGTGAAAGATTATGACATATTAATATTACTTGGATTGGAGTTGAGTTTTGACGGTGATAACTGGTGAATAGAAAGTGCAAAATTAGATTTATGGAAAACTTGTATATGATTTCTATCAAAAAAATTGCCGCGCCAGTAAAATAAAGAAATAATATAAGGACAAAATATTAAATACGGTAAGTAAATATTGATTGTATAGGTTAGAATAAGAAAATAATTAAATTAGTGAATATGAATGCACATTAGGGCACAGTGATCTTTAGTTAAACCAAAAATAATGGTTTGCGCTAAAACTAATGTCTCATATTCCTAAATTTACAATTTAAATTTTGTTTTAATAGGTCCTAAAATGGCGACAATTTGCTATAGAGCCTAAACGATAATTCGAGGGTCTTATAGTCTTAGTAGCTGTACTATGTATGGTATGGATTCTATCATACAGCCATTAATTTTTAATCAGTTGTATAATAGAATATTTTTAGTACTAACGCTGTATAGTAGTTGTCTTTAGAGATACGTATAAAAGATGAAAATCCTTTCTTTTAGGAACAACACCCTTCACTTTATCTCATTTAAATAATAATATTTTAAGATGTAACCGTGTTTTAATAATTTTTTTGTTTTATTTTATGGACATACACAAAAAAAGTGTTTACTTCTTTCACTTCTTTTAACACACAGACAAAGGTAATAAATATTTTTGTACCAACCTAAATCCATCGATTTTCGAAATGATTGTATTTATTGGCAATAAATTACTACCCCTTTGATTCAGTTAAATTCACAAACCAAACCAAAAATATGACTCCCTTTAGCAAATAAAAATTACCTATACATCTTTTCTTTTTAATGTAAAAAGTGGAGTATAGAATTAAACCGATCTCTTTCTCTGGCAAACAATACTAAGGAAGGTACATTTTATGACAGAATATTTTCTATTTTTTTTTTTTTTTTTTTATAGGATCGGGTGACAAACGAGCACACAGTCCACCTGATGGTAAGTGGTTACTGTGACCCATAGACATCTACATCTATCCTCAATAAAGACTCAAGATGCAGATGCGTTGTCACCCGTGAGGACTAAGATGGAATGCCTCTTTGCCGGTAAAAAGGGTCTCCGGTTCTCTACACTCACCATACGAAACACAGCAGCGTTAAGCTGCTATTTAACGCTGGTTTTCTGTGAGAGCGTGGTCCTTCCCCGGTCGAGCCGACCCATTCGTGCTACAACCATAATATAGCTGCAGCATGGCTCTACCACGTTTAATTAATATTTTATCTAGCTCAGCAGTACGGTACCAGTACGAGCATGCTGTTTATTTTGTTATTGTGTTTAGCTGTTTAGTTGATAGGTAACTCCTGGCAAACGCATCCGCATGTCGTTTTCTAGTCATTCGCTCGCATCGTCATACTCTTACGTCACGTAGGTACGGCAAAACCAAAAGAGTTAGCTATTTTGTTTGATACCCAAGTTAATTAATTGTGAAGTAATTTTAATGTGTTGTGTATCTGATACTGGTTTTATTTTACTTTTTAGGAAAATATGCCGTTTATAATTGTGGAAACCATAGAGAAAGGGAAAAATTGCCTTTTTTATTAACATTGTATCAAGTTTGTGGGAATTAAAAGGCGTTTTAAGATGGCCAAAATAGCGATTAGATACTAATATATCTAGCTAATAAAATCTACGATTTACAATTGTAGCTAAATGATTTAAAACTACTTGAGATATATTTCTCTCTGTGGCCCAATTCTTTATTAGCTGGCGAAATAATAGATTTTTTGAAAATTCGCTGTTATCATCATTTGGACTACTTGTGCTGCTGCATGATAAATCATCACAATCAGGTGCCGAAAACAAAGTTACATTTGACATAACTGTGATCATGATTAACACTGTTTAATGTTTTGTTACGGAACCCTCTTTGTTAGCCGTCGATGAGATTGACGCTTGACTGTAGCTTGTCTGATTTATTAAAGTATTTCTATATTCTTCAGTAACACTATTATTCAGTTGATAATTTGTAGTATTTAAATATTCCCTTTTAATCCTTTTTCTAACTGCACCAAATCTTTTTCTTTTTTTACACATATAAATAACAAATTAATTTGTTCACTGGCACAATATATTAAACACGCAATTATGCATTAAAAATGGCGATATTCTAGCACTTATAAAGACTTAATTTGTACTATAGCTATAATTTTTTTTTTAGTTTTATATCACTCTCATAGACAGAAGTTATAAAACTACTGTATTTACAACGGTGTACAATTACGCCATAAGAATAAGTTTTAGAAGGGATCGAGTTCACATACACCATTGAGACAGAAATAATATTTGAATGATACTATAATAACACTTAGGGCTACAATAGGCAAGTGACAGCATGCAAAAAATAGCTTCTATACAGCTTCAATGATAAAATCAGATTGAAGTGTTACAAAATACTTAAAGTTATATAGTAGAGTTTTCATATTCTGATTAAGAACCCTAAGCTTACTTAGATCCCATAATACAGACTTTATACAGCTTGAGCTGTATAATAACTCATAAACCACTCTTATAAGGGTACAATCTTTTTTCGACACTCTTATAAGCTTCTAAAAGAACTCTAAGTTTTATATAGGCTGGTATATTAATGTTCATAATACTTGTGTGCTGCTTGGGTCTTCTGGTGCAAGGAGGATGGTGTTGCTGAGAGGCTGCCCTGTATTACACTGAGGTAAGTAGTGTTGCTGTTGTTTTGCATAGTGTGGTATTATAATGTAATTTATCACGTACCTCACGTTACACTGATGTATGATCGTGGCGGGGACTGCTGCATAGGGCAGTCTTCTAGGCACTAAAAATGGTTTTGTAACACGAGCTGAAAGCTTTCGGGACTTTGGAACAGAGCATGAGGAGGACGGAGCGTTAATTTCATTAGACGAGGCCTCTCCAACTTAACGTTTAGGTTCAGTGTGCCTCTAACCATTCGGTGATCGCTCCTAGTTTTCACCCTCGCGATCACGGAGACATCACTGAACATTTGTCGTCTGGTCGTTATAATGAAGTCAATCTCATTTTTGTGGAACCGTCGGGGCTCGACCAGGTCCACTTCCTGTGGGGCCGCTTCTGAAAGAAAGAGTTCATCATAAAGAGTCTCTCTTTCTCCATGAAGTCGGCCAGCTGCTGACCCCTTGGGTTCTCTTGCCCTATTCCAAATTTCCCTACTTTCAGCTCACCGTTCTCTCTTGTGCCTAGTTTTGCATTGAAGCCATTAACACCGTATATTGGGGTTTGGAGGAATGCATGGCTCTAGACATATCCTCATATATTTCCTCCACCTCCTCATCGGGGTGGGTTGAGCATGGCTCTATTACGTAATAAATCCATATCACAAAAATAATGCTGGAGTTTCACCAAGTGAAAACAATCACACGTGTAAATTAAGAACTTCGATACTGTTCACTTCGAGCCGTGGTAACTTAGTGTTCTCTTTAAAATTTCGTAATAGTCGCTAATTCCTATTAGTTCAACTAATTAGTTTAATCGTTCCTAGAGTTTCTGAGCATAATTCCATTAAGGAGTTAAAATATTGAGATAAAGTAGTTGAACTCACTCCACCATATTAATGATTCGTGAAATTAAATTATATTGTATTCATTAACGTATTTATGAAATTAGCTTTCATCGGAATTGATTACTTTTTTATATTACTGTTAAAAATAAAGTTACAGCCTATATACGTCCCACACCTGGGTACCGGACTCCTCTCATTTTTAAGAGGGTTTTAGGACAAGGAAATGTCTGCTGGGCCGCCCCAATGCGTGGGCAAATTTCACATGTCTTCGAAATATTTTTTTTCTTATTTTTACTTCACAGCCGAGCACGTGGTAAATCGGCACTTAAAATTGCAATTAACAACTTCATTGGTGCCGGCGGGAATCGAACCCGGGTTTTTCGGGTAATGTGAAATTTACAGCGAGCGCTTAGCCTTTGAACTACCATGATTATATTTTTTTATATTCTACTAACCCAGCGCTTATCTACGATCCCACCTGATGGTAAGTGGTGATGCAGCCTAAGATGGTGAAGCGCACTGCCTTAACAATAGCCTATGCACTCTTATCTTGAAGACGCCCACACTGTAATCGGATGGAAAGACAGATGCTGGCAAGTTATTCCACTCCACCAAAATATCAAAGGTATTAGAACAAAATTGAAAGATGTTTATTGTCACATAGCTTTTTGCGATTACGATGTGATTGTATTTACGGAAACATGTCTTTTGAATGGCATATATGACTCAGAGATCACAGATGACCGATATGTTCTGTACATGCCTGACAGAAGTAAAAGTATTTTCAATAGCAAAGACAGTGGTGGCGGTATTTTGATAGGTATTTCTAGAAAATACAAATCGTATAGAGTCCTAGATTATGAAAGTTCTTGTGATGATCTCTGGGTCAAATTGCTTTTGCCGACATGCAACGGGATTCAGGAGATTTCAATATGTGGAGTATATTTGCCTTCTCCAATTAAGGTTAATATATTGGATCATTTCATTAGTAACGCTAACAGAGTATTGGAAGAGGTGGCGGAATGTCTAATTCTAGGCGATTTTATTATAAATACTATCAACTAGATTTACAATAATGATAGTATAGTTAATTCACGCCAACGTGCTAATTCTAAAGTTGAACAATCTTTGTGGGATTTCATAACGTTAAACGACCTAAGGCAGCATAACGACTTGTTAAGAGAATCCTCGATCTGGTGTTATCGAATATGGATAATATTAACATAAGGAAGCCCAGCCACGTGCTATCCAAAATTGATCTTTACCATCCACCTGTACAAGTTTCGCTTACCTTTTCTAAGAAAGTCGTTAATATACCGATTACCATTCATACAAAATTAAATTATTTTAAAGCTGATTATAATTCAATTTGCACAGCGCTTCAAGAAATTGAGTGGCATTGGGAATTCTCTTCATGCGTCTTAGTCGATGCCATGGTTGAGAAATTCTACTATATAATACGTGAACTAATACAAAAACATGTACCACGAAAGATTGTAAAAAATAATAAGTATCCATATTGGTTCTCAAAACAACTAATAAAAAGATTGAATGAAAAGAATCGGTTGAGGTTGAGAGTTAAATAATATAACAACCCGATGGATGTGATCTCATTAAATCTACTTAAAAAACGGTATAGCAGAATGTCAGTTGCTTGTTTCAATTCATATACAGCGTCCCTTGAAAATAAGATTGTTACTAATCCTAAACTTTTTTGGAGCTATATCAAACAAAAAAGAGGTGGCTCTAGCAATTATCCTCGTGCTATATCGAATGGAGTTGAAGTGTCTGAAATATTGAAACCATCAGCGATTACTTTGCTTCCCATTTCTCCAGTGTCTATGATAATTCTTTTAACACCGTCTCCTCAACACATCCAGGGTCTGTCGATCGAATAAAATATAACTCCATTAAATACTGTAACTTTAAGAGAAACACAAATTAAGGAAGTTTTGCATAAACTTAATATAAATAAAGGAGCAGGCCCTGATCTAATTCCACCCATTTTTGTTTGCAAAACGGCTAATGAGATATCAATCCCTTTAATGTTAATATATAACAAATCTTTACAGGCAGGAGTTTTCCCATCGGTTCGGAAGGATTCAAATATTGTCCCCGTATTTAAATGATAAATCAATTGTATCTAACTATAGGCCAATAGCTATTTTGTCTGTTCTTGCAAAGGTTTTTGAGGCTCTGATTTGTCCTATTTTGTCTTGGCATCTGAAACAGTATTTGTCGAACAAACAACATGGATTTATGAAGGGGAGATCTACGGCTTCTAACTTATGTTATCTTACGTAGCATATGTTGAATCACTTGTTGGGGCCGTTGATTCTCGCATACAGGTGGATACGGTATATACAGACTTCAGCAAAGCTTTTGATACAGTAAATCATAGTATATTGTTGGAAAAACTACAATTATATGGAGTTACAGGACCTCTGCTAGGGTGGTTTACATCATATCTGACTGATAGAGAGACGAAAGTTGTATTGAACGGTATTTGCTCAAGTCCTTATGCTGAATCGTCTGGAATCCCGCAAGGATCCCATTTGGGGCCCTATCTCTTCACATTATTTATGAATGATATTGAACAGTGTTTCCAAAACTCTGAAGCACATTTATTTGCTGATGACCTTAAAGCTATAAAAATGATAAGGAATCAGGGGGACATCTTGCTGTTTCAAAGTGATCTGGATAGGCTTGCAGATTAGTGTGACTGAAACAAAATGTTTTTAAATATAAAAAAATGCAAGCATATCAGATTCACCAGAAACAGAGGGATCGTCAATTCTAGATATAGTATATATAATTAATTGCTTGAAGAAGTTCATGTAATTAAAGACCTAGGCATTCAGATGGATCCAAAACTTAAATTTGATTTACATATAAATGACTGTGTACTAAAAGCATCAAAGATGCTTAGGTTTGTGCTAAGGGAGAGTGGGAATTTTAAAAAATCAGCCACATAAATAATATTGTACAACTCATTAGTAAGGAGTCACTTGGAGTATTGCAGTGTACTTTGGTCACCCAGTTACAGAATACATATAGACCGCATTGAAAAAGTACAAAAAAGGTTTCTGTGGCACTTGACTCGTAGCTGTAATATGGCCAGGACGCTCAAGTCATATGAGGAAAGACTGTCTCATTTTAAGATCCCATCATTGGAAACGAGAAGAAAAATTATTGATTTATTGTTCTTAAAGAAATTGGTGACTGGATTTTTGGATTGTCCCGATCTTCTTAGTAAGATAAATTTTAATGTACCGCATCGGTTGCCTAGATCCTGTAATAGCAAATTATTTGTTGCACCTCAAGGTCGAACTAATTTAAGATCACGTTGTTCCTTAACAAGAATGTTTGCATTATATAAAGAATACCAAAGCAGAATAGATCTATTCTCAACCCCGATGGCTGGCATCAAAAAAGTAGTTATCGGCGATTAAGGCTAAGTTTTAATGGAAGTTTCTTCATTATTAATTTAAATTAAAATTTTATTGGTGTTAAATTGTACCTATGTGCTGTTGTAAAATCAACAAAAAGTCTCTTTTTTATGCATGTGGTGCCCTCCTATAAGTAATGGGACATTTAGTTTTAATAATTGTGATGTCATTCCATATGTATGTAACAGTGTACTCATTGTTGTGAGAGCCTAATAAAATAAATAAAATACATCCTGTAGAAAACCGAAAGGCTGGCTACTTTGCGTCTGTGTTCGAGGCTGGTGAGATTAGTTTCAACCAAATTCGGGTCACCAATAAGCCTCTTAGCACGCCTTTCTAATGAAACAAAGTTGCTAGGTGACATTTTGCAGCACCAGCCCATCTGTTTCGGACTAGGTTGGTATCTCTCCACAACTGTGCTATCGTCTGCATACCCATAGATACCGTGCATAAGCAGATTATTAATATGCAGCAGGAAGAGAGTTGCTGAGAGAACGGATCCCTGAGGAACACCGGCGTTAGTCGCCATAGGATCGGATGAGCAGCTATCGATAACGACCCGGAGACACCGTTCACTCAGAAAATCCTTTACCCATTAAATCAGACCAGGGGATAAGCCGTACACGGGAAGCTTACCCAAAAGGCTAGTGTGCCAAACTCTGTCAAAGGCCTTCCAGACATCAAGGGAAATAGCAAGTGCTTCCCAACTGTTCTCTACTGCCTCGCCCCATACGTGTGTGGCATACGCTAGAAGATCCCCAGCTGACCGATTTCAGCGAAACCCACGGTCACTAAGGAGGTCATTCTGTTCTAGGTATGCCATTAAGCGGTCGTTCAATATACGCTCCATAATCTTGCAGAGTATGGAAGTAATTGTAATTGGCCGATAATTGGCAGGGTCGGCACTGCTGCCTTTTTTTTAGAATAGGATGCACATTGGCCAGCTTCCAGGATTTTGGCACTACTCCGGTCTTAAATGAGAGGCGGAACAAGCGTGTTAGCACAGGATACAACTTGGTGCACAAGCCTTTAGAACTATAGCTGGTATGTCATCTGGTCCACTAGATTTGTTCACGTCTAGACGCCGCAAGATTTTAAAAACTTCATTATTTGTTATACGAATCTCTGACATAGAGGTCCCGCAATGAGGTAATTTTGATGGAAAGTTGTTGCTACTGTCCAGAGGTAAATTGTAGGCAAAGAGAGACGCGAACGGGTCCGCTTTCTATGTAGGCGTATGCGCCAGTGTGCCATCCGGTTTTACCAGCGGAGGCAGTGGAGGCGGACAGAAGTTTGTCTCGACCGATGTGGCGAGAGACCAAAATCTCTAGTGCCGGAAGGTCTGGCAGAGAGTTTTGGGCCTATACGTTTAATACGATCGAGACTAACTTTTTTAACTTTCCATAATGCTTTTTTGTTGGACTTGGCGGTCTGGTTGAAAGTTCTCTTCTTGGAGCTAAAATCCGGAGCTTTACGGTTTCGAGCGTCAACCCAGGATAGGTACGCTAAATGCTTGGGCTTTTCAGATTGTGCTCATTTAGCGTTAATCCATGGATGAGCTTTGCTACTCCCCTTTGGGCTCTTTTGCCTCCGCCCATCTTTGAGTTAGTTAATTTTGAAGATCACCAGCTGAGCGCGCTCAACACAAACCGTACTGGCGGTCATTAATCAGCTGGTGATCCTCAAGGTAGCGCATAAGCTGGCAGTTAATAATAGTTTGCAATACTTTGGAGAACAAAGAGGTGATAGCGGTAGGCCTTTAGTTGGATGGATCTGAGCGTTCGCTTTTATTAGGGATCAAATGCAACAAAGATGTCTTCCATGAGTTCGGAACTACGCCTAGGGAGTAGGAGTATTGGAAAAGACGCGTTAAAACCGGTGCCAACTCCGGAGCACATGTCTTCAGCACTATAGGTAGGACTCTATCAGGCTCACTCAACTTGTAGACGTCCAGGAAGAGGAGTGATTTCCGCACCGAGCGCTGTGCAAATAGCACTTCTTGCATGGAGCACTCTCACCGCGGGATGATTGGCGGTGTATTCCCACCGTCATCGAGAGTCGAGTTGGTAGCAAAGAGAGAGCCTAGCTGCTCGGTTTTCTCCTTTTCGGCATGGGTCAGTTAGTCTTCTACCCTGTGCAGAGATGGTAGAGATGAATGACAGAAGTTCCCTTGAACAGCCTTGGCGAGAGACCAGAATGCACGTGTTTTCGAAGGGAGGCGAACTAATTTCTCGCCAATTCTGCCGATGTGCTCTGACTTTGGTAGGGCAATGAAACCTTTGAAGGACTTGGAGGCGGAAATATACTTCTTTTTAAGAGCGCTGGTGCTTACATCCCGAGACGTTGATGCGTCAGCCCAAGCCCGGTAGCACTCCTGCTTATAGCGTGATGCAATTTTACACAAGTGACCAAACCATGGCTGAGTTCTGCCTTCGATAAGCACCACAGATAATACAGATAGTACCACATCATCGACAGAATCAGCAACAACGTTGAGATCATCCGGCGAGAAGAAAACCCGCCGCCAAGGCAAAAAAGACCGCATCTCATCCCAATCGGCTGACCTATATTGCGAAACACGGCGGCAAATTGCAGATTGCAACTGTGATGAGAGCCTGAATGGCACCATACTCCGGATCAGACAATAGTGTAAAGAGCCAAGAGGGACATCGATGAAGACCTAATATCTGTCCGGATGAGAGGTCAGCAGTAGTTCCAACAGGGAAGGTACAAGATCTTCTACTTGTGGGATCCGTGAAGGTGAAGTAACCAGTTGTGTCGGACCACATATATGCCCAAGCAAAGTCATTAACAGATCTACCTGCATGGTCGGTTAAATGGGAACCAAGCCATTCAGCGTGAAGGGCGTTAAAATCACCAAGCATCACGATCCCTGCGGATTGAATAGGTTGTAGTACGTTATCTGCAGCTATTTGGACGTGGTTGAAGTCGGTCTATGTCAGCATTACCGCTATGGGAGCTATTGAGATACCCGTAGACGCGAAGATGGTTGTCGCTGTATTCGCACAGCAATAGGATGGAATTGAATGGAGCCCCCTGATATTGCAGATATTGACGGAAAGCGTGACCGGGGTTGCCTTTGACAATTGCAGCACCAGACGCCTTACACATCTGACGTTACTCCGGTTTGGGTATCGGAACCATAACATCTTTCTGACTTTTCCGGTAATCACTTCTTACGATACTTAAGGAATGATACGGGGTGATGAATTTTATTCCAATACAACTAAACGGTAAACGCGTGTAAAAGATATGTCATAATTGACTCATATTTTTATCAGTGAGAAAAAAAACAGTATTATATATAGATTTCTATTTATTCTTCGTTTTTGTAACGAAAATTCGCATGGCAAGATAATGTATAGAAGCGGTAGTTTATCACATGTCATCTAATTTCTAATTTTCCAGTTAACTGGACGGTAAAGCGCAGTGATTTACTAGGACGATCGTACTAAGAGAAAGAAAACAGACATACCTATTCGTTTGCGTCACTGTGGCGGGACAGAAAACCTTGATTGCTTGAGCGAATTGATTTGTGACGTTGCCCAAGGTTTTTGTTAATGCCATAGCCAAAAAGTGCTGAAAATGCAAATTGCTTTTATCGTTATTGTCCCTTTTATCTCGCATGTATTATATAAAATATTTTATTTTTAGATTTCTTCCTCGTAGGACCTATTTCTCGAATCGTTTACTACTCGCGAATTTTCCGGAATTTAATAGACAAATGTTATGCGAGAAGTAAAAACTGTGTAAGAACCTCCGAAGGAGGCGAAGTTATAGCCAAAATAAGAATTTTTAATTTTTACGTTTTTGGAGATTTTGACCCATGACCCCGATGACATCTTCTATATGATAGGCTATTCAATCTGACTATGCCTAAAGTTCGAGCCACCCTCCAATTTTTTGGTTTTTGGCCATTTTGAACCCCTAGCAGTGTAATGAGACCTTTTTGCCTCTATTCAACCATGACCTCCAGACATCCTCTACGTGATAGGCTATTCAAACTGACTAGGCCCAAAGTTCGAGTAACGCTCCAACTCATTTCAAGTCTTTACTTTCAATTACTTTCAATAAAAGTACAAACCGACTTCAAGAGATAACAACTAGAATGGTGTCCTTATACTTACATTAAAATATTCATCCCTCATTTACACACCCTTAGGAATGGAATGTTTTCTTTAAATTTTTATGGGACTACACCTGAAGTACAGTCTATTTAGTAAAACAGAAATCATTTAAATTGGTTGAGATGTTTCTAAGAAAACGGTGAACGGCGGCGTCTGTCTTTATGTCCGAATACAAACTGGGCGTCTTAAAGGTAGAAGTCACTAGGCAATTGTTGCGCTAAGAAAGTGCGGCTTATTTATTTTTATCTAGGGCTTCATCACCACTTACCTACAACCAATTGGGATTATAGTCAAGCACTACTTTATGATAAATAGAAAAAACAATTTCGTCGAATACAACTTATATTCTCGTTTTTATAAACTCGGTTAAAATCTAAAAACTTCTTCGACATTTTTTTCCAATGTTTATGTATTTAATTTTCATTTATTAATCCTGTGTTTTCGCTGAAAAATTGTTTTGTTTTGTAAATATTTGCAAGGAGAAATAAACTTTTCTGCTTTCGTTTGTTGTGTTTGTTTAATATGTTGTGCACGAGAGTACCCCACTCTTGTTTCGAACCCGGCAAACTCATTCAGTGCTTACAAGAGTTCGGGGCAATAAATCTGCTTCAAAATGTGGGTCGCTCCGTGGGAGCAGGTTAACGACACTAACATATGACTCTTTTCCAAGCTAAAGGTTTAGGTAAAAATTCTTTTTCACAATTTCCTTTCTTATAGTACGTTTATAACTTGGTTTTACTTTTAAGATATAAACTGCGTAGAAAATAAATGTGACTTTGTTTAGTGCATATGCACATCCTACAGCATAATACTTAAGAATTCAAACACTTTTTGTCAAATAGTTAAAGAATATAAGTAAAACTTCTAGTCACCTTTTCCACATACAAGAATATTTACCGACTAATAATACAAATATTGTATTATATTTAAATAACAGCTGTTTATTTATTTGTAAAACCTAACATTACTGTAGAGTCAAATGAGACAAATGCTGCTAGTAGGGTGAGCGTTTGGAAGAAGGCACTGGTACCATACATTATCGATGTTAGTAGTGAAGTTAAAAAGAGGTTAAGGTAAGGAGATATTGAATGATAGGAGAAGAAAAGTCTGTGAATAATCTATAAATATAAATAAAATTAAAATATCAAAATGATATGTATGTAATATTAAAATAACTAGATTTTATTGAGCTAAGGGGGTTGCTTGCATACCATTTAGAGAAATAAAATGAAATAAATGGTCTGGTTGTGATTTTTTGAACTATTTATTTGGTCACTGCTACGTATAGGACGTCCGAAGTGAGGGTTATTCTTCGAGCATCAACGTGCAACTGTGAAATACGATAGATCTTGATTGACTTGTTCCGAAGTGAAATTTTTCAGGCACGGATAACTAATAGACCTTTTTCCATTTTCACAGGCTACAGCAAACCGCAAACAAATGACTTAATTTTTTTTAAAACAAAGATAATAAGTTTATTTTTTTTCTAAATCTATATCAGTCAATATTGACCTTTTATAATCCCAAAAAGCTTGTACTTTAAATTGTGTTCCCATTTCGGATGAACTGATGGGCACGACGGGTAAAGCACCATTATTTCAAAGAATAACTGTGTAAAAGAGCAACATAATTTTAAATGTTTATGGAATTTTAAAAGCTCAATTTAGAGTTAAATTTTTTACAACATTAATATATTACGATGTTTACTATTCTGTATATTATGATGACCAGTGTAAGAATATTCACTCCCCATAAATGCCGTCCCGTAGGTAGCGTAAGAGGGAAACAAACCTGGAGATGGGCAACGGCGTCTTCCTTATAATAATAAGATATTTAAAAAAATTGCGGTTGGCAACTCGCCTACGGCAACGAGAGTAAACATCCCCCTTATGAGGCAATAAACTGTAAATTTATAATGTACATACACACTTACGTGAATTATTATTAATGTAAATTGATCTGTTGTCTGTAAATTGTAGATAGAAATATTTACATAAATAAATTAATAATGCAGTGTTGTGTAAGCTGAATGATGTCCGAATACCTTTATTAATGGTGATGAGGAAATTCACCATAGTTCTCAGGAGTGGCAACTCACCATCAATATAATTCTTAATCGAGGATGGATGGAGGTCTCTGAGCATAAGCATCAACTTACTGATAAGGACTGTGTGCACGTTTGTAATCCGAGCATATGAGAAAATAATTGTCTCGGTCCTTTTGAAATCTATTGAAATATTAATTATGTCAAAATATTGTCTCTCGAACACCAGCGTAAAATATAAGCTCAATGCGTTTCGTATGGTATGTGTAGAAAACTGGAGACCCTTTTCACTGCAAACAAGGCATGCAGTATTACTCCTTAGAGGTGGCAACGCATTTGCATTTTGATTTTTAATCGAGAATAGATGTAAGAGTAGATGTCTATGCCTCAGCATCCACTTACCATCAAGTGAACTGTGTGTTCGTTTGTCATCCTTATTCTATAAAAAAATACGATTCTACCTTAACACTTCTGAACTTTTTAGGTCGAACGATAATCTCAAGCGAGTATTATTTAAGTAACATACAACTCTGAACAAGTAACGAAATTCACTTAAATTTTAAAGTTAAGATAATTTTCTGGAAGTAGTTGGAAAACATTAACTGGATAAGGAAGTTTTAAAAGCGAATACAGTAAATATAGAGACGCGAGTTTTCAAGTATTAAGTTAAATTAATTATTCCCGTTTGTTTTATTATTTCTAGATTTTAATGAAAATTAGATCAACTAGATTTTGATTAATTGCTGTATGAATCATAGTAACCGAATAGATGTGGTGTAAGAATATGTACTACCTGATATAGTACTGGGTGTCGTAAAATCCGACAGAGGGAAACACCAGCAGCGTTTTCCTAATAACAAGTTAAAATAAGAAACTGGGGTAGGCTAGCGTGGCAACTATTACAAATATCACCCATAGATATAGATGTCAATGAGGCAATCTATGGTACATTTGATAGACTGTAACAGTAACGGTAACTAAATCGTAGTTCGAAAATAATTATTTTGGTTATTATAATTTTATTAAATGACATCGTGCAACACCACGGATAAGGGGGCGTGTATGCGTAATGACACCAATTAAACAGCGTGCCTTTCTTATCTAATTTACTAAATAACGCCTTCCAGACCGAATTGCAATCACGACGGCTAGTCTCAGTAGCCATCTGCCTAGCTATCTGTACAGGAGAGGATTATAAAACAACGGGTTCTTTCACTTTTCCCTCACTCTCATAGTGTCTGATGAGACGGCAATGGCTTTACGTGTTTTTCGAGGCACGGTGGGCAATGACAGCCAACTTCCTGACGCCTCGATTTTACTTAGCATTTCTTGACTTTTAAACCGAATAACTTATTTTGGCCTAACTCAAGATTCGAAAACGGTCGAGCTTACAACCTCTACCATTTCACTATACAGCCTTTTTAAGTTAGACATCGGTGGTTCCAGGAAAAACAAGTTGGCAAGCATTCATGGGGAAATTAGCTGGGCAGGTAGCTGCTGCTGTACCGATATCCTCGCATTCGTTAAGCTGCACCAATAAACACTGACCTGTGACATTTTGATAAAGCGTTGTTTTAGATTTCCGGTCATAAAATTAGAGACTCGTCCAACGATGAGAAGGGTGAATCAAATAAAAGAAAAGGTATTTGAGAAAAAAGTATAACTTATAAAAGGTGACGTCCTAGGTGATAGGACTCCTGTAAGTGGTACAACTGCTCTAAATGATAGGATTTCATTTTTTTGTCTGGGTACTCACTACCCTATTTCTGCCGCCAATGCTTTTTGGCGGCAGAAATAGGTAAGAGGTACTGTACTGAAATTATACCTAATTACAGGCTGTGGGCATTCCATCTTAGTCCTTTAGAGGTGACAACACATCTGTAGTCATATTTGTTTGAAGTTGGTTTTAAGTATGCATAGGCTGTAGTAGCCACTTTACACCAGGTGTACTGTAAGTTCGTTTGTTACTTCAATTAACGAAAACAATACTGGATTGAGGTTTGATTGATATTTATATTTTTTAATGATTATACTATTTCACTTTTCAGGGTGTTATGACTGTAAACCGCCAAGCGAGTAACACCGAGGCTAATTTTGTTCGCCACTGATTTAGTCGCCGATGTTGCGTCGTCTATGTTTTAAACCTTCTTCTATTTAACAGCCCGTAACGGTCCAATTTTACACATGGGTCCTTCCCATTTCATTCGATCTTTCAAAGTCCACTGCTGAACAAAGGCCTCCTCATATATTGCCTAATAAGAGAGACATTTGGCATAGGTGCCAGCTTTTGTAGGCGCGTTGGCAACTGTAGTTTAATATCTAGTTATTATTAGGAATATCCTTTTGATTGGCTGCCCATCTCCTGGTGTAGTTTAGTCTATCGCTTCTAACGACATCCATGGGACGAATAATGGGTAGTGGATATTCTTACACCGTCATGGAACAGTTCCTTCCCGTAATTGAGAGAATTTTAATAAAAGTTTGTACTAAACGGCTGAAAACGTGAAAATACCTCTGACCTTGGAAGAACTAGCAAAAAAATCAGCGGAACTATTTTATAAACATATATAATTTTACAATAATATGTACTATTACTTGTATGAATTATAATAGAATTAGTATGGTAGCGATTACCTCATTTCCAAGAGCAATTAATTTTTTTTTTAGAAAAGTGATGGTACTCGTAAGTGTCGGTCGCAAAGTTGTGCCTTGTAAAGTTGCAAACAGTGTGCCGACATAAAATTCTGTCCATTTGAGATTAGTGTCGAAGCTGAGCCCGAAGATCCAAGGTGTACAGCAAGTGCTCTCAGCGCCTGGAATGAGCACGCACGGCGTAGGTGAGAAGGCGTGGGCGTCTCTAGGCGACGACCTCAGGTGAATGCGGTGGTTTGCAAGATCCGGCGATTTCAGGCAAGACAGGGGCTTGCAGGATCCTCAGCGACTTCAGACAGGACAGAGGCCTGCAGGATCCGGTGACTTCCGGCGGGACAGAGGTTTGCAGGATCCGGCGACTTCAGGCAGAGCAGAGACTTGTAGGATCCCGGCGACTTCAGGCAGAGCAAAGGCTTGTAGGATCCGGCGACTACAGGCAGAGCAGAGACTTGTAGGATCCGGCGACTACAGGCAGAGCAGAGGTTTGTAGGATCCGGCGACTTCAGGCAGGACAGAGGCTTGCAGGATCCCGGGGCAGTGCGGCCCCGGGATAAGGCCTTTAGGAGATGCTTCCAATTCGAGAAATGAAGCGAGACTGCATTTCTTCACCGATTGTTCGGCTTTTATACCTTTCTAGAGGGAACGGAAAAATTATTTAAATTAAACGCAAATTTTTTGTAAATGGCCAAGAGGAAAGAGTTTTTATGTGGAATTATCGAAGTAGAAACAACAGACCGGTAGCAAATTTGAACATAATTGTCATGACAACCAAATAAATAACGATGTCAAAACATGTCAAAGTTTGGTTTTAGGCTCGTAATAGAAAAACGGCAAGATTTAAGTGAAAAATGAGGTATTATTGATATAGGAAAAAAGGTAGCACACCTGCGCGCACAAAGTCCGAAATTGCAGAGTTACGGAAAACTAAATAAAAGATCGAAAAAGGTAGACTCCATTGACACCAATTTAAAAGTGCTGATAATGTGAAAATACGAAGTAGAAATGATTTGTTATTGTGTTCTTATGGTTTAAAATCGTTACAGGATCCTATGGAAATAAAGGTGATGTAAAATATACAGTTTTGAGGTGAATGCAGAAAATCGAAACAGAATGGAAAAATAAATTTAAAATAATGTAAAATGATATGTAAGTAGCATAACACTACAACCTACGTCATTCGATATGTCGACGACAAAGGATCCGATGATGGCTAATGCAGCAAGGAGAGTGCCCTGCAATTGAGGAGATACAACAAAGAAGTTCATTCATGTATTCTTTGATAATATAATAACTCTTTAAATTCAGTTTTTGTTTTATAAATATTTCAAGCTTATTGATTGACAATTTTTTAACATTTTCTAGGATTTTGTTGTAATTGTATATAACATAGAAAACAATAATACATATATACATTGGTTTATGTATGAATTACTGATTCTGTGGAGTCTAGTACTCGTAACTAGCATTACAAGCTTGTGTTTGCTCCGTTTATTTAAAGTATGAATATTCTTTTTCTTATTAAAATTATTCATGTTTCTATGTATATACATTACATTTTCAGAAATATATTGCAATGCTGAATTTATTTTTAATTCTTTAAATATTTTTTTTAAATATTTTTTTTAAAGGCCATCTTTTGATAAACACATTTGGTTTCAATTTCAGACCTCAAACAAAATTTCATAAGACATAACTCTATGAAAGTAACTATAATTATATATTTTTTAATGTTACCTCCACACTAGGATTTTTCCTGTGTGGGGGAAGTTTATATACATAAATTTCACAAGGACAAACATTCAACACGGAACAATATTTTGTAGGCCATACAATTATCTGTTTCATGGGAGCTAAGCCACTGTGCCTCAGAACATTCTATAATTATGTATATATAGTATAGGTAATAAAGTTATTAAATTATTATAAATTTTAGGTTCAAAGTAACTCATTTTCTTAATATAAGATGGTACAGTGCCCCAAAAAAAAAAAACACCTGGATCCGATAGTAGGCGCTGTGGTCAAGTTTTTAATATAATTAAGATGGTTGTTTTTCAAAGACCAGCCAAATTTAATAATTCAGTTCAAAATATAAATACTGATATACACTTTTTGCAGTTTTGAAAAGTACGTGTAAATAATGTTTCTACATTTATTTCAAAATATCAAAATTCAATGTGATTTATGGGCAACAACGACGCGCGCTCATGTGTGTACGAGTCAATTCACGGAGCTTTTCCCTACTATTTACTTCCATAATGAAACGCTCGCTACTTAGTTGATAGCTGATAACTGTCATAATAAATACAAAAAAATATATTCGGCAACGACTGGAAGAGATGCCATGCAAATAAAAATTCTGCCCACTTCGAATTACATAATATTTTACTCCAACACAAAACACAGTTCGAAATACAAGCTTAGACTACAGAGCAAAGGGAAAGAGATGGA